CAGCTGAAGGCCTCGGACTGGGGTGACGGTACATGTGCCCACAGAGAGGGCTCTGAGTGCCACCTGTGGCATGCGTGCCATAGGTTTGCCACCACGGGCTTATGCTATACTTAGCATGTGGTAGGGAAAGGATGCTGTGGGGCTTCTGGAATCACATAACCAGGAAGGGGGGGGGCTCAGAACGGGAGGGTTGACAACAAGAAACCCAGCTATGTCTTCCAGAGGTTTCCTCTAAACTCGATCCTTCTTTTACTAGCTTCTCCTCCTTCCTGCTGGCAAACTTGGTCCTGTTCTCATCAGTTTTTGAAAAGTAGGCAGGATTACTTGTCATTGTGAATACACAGAACGACTACATTCAGAGGAGCTACAAGTTGAATAATAGCTGCCTGTGATAGTCAGTTGCTAACTTTAAAGAAAAAGAAGAGGTAGAATAGGGTTATGGTACCATCTTTTATCACTGGAGATATATTTTATTTTAAAAATATCTAAACTGCTTTTGATCCAAACAGAATCAGTACCGTGCATGGACATAAATTACATTAAAGCCAATTCAATTTAAGGCAAGTATTAACTACCTTTGCATAAATAATAGAATTGAGAGATGAAAACTAAAATATAAAATCTTTTAATATGCATGAGGGGAAAAAAGCTTTCTGTAGTTCTAGAAATTCTCAACAGGGTATCAGTATAGAAAGACTCCTTTGATAGCAGAAGTGGAAAAATTCTCAGATCTCATTTGAAGATAATGCATGGGTAGCTAGGTGTGGGGGGAATCTTTAGTTATTTAAAAATTTAGATTTTCACTTGGACTCAGTTCTGCAAACTGGAAAGTTGCCTCATTTGCTGCTGGACATGATAGGATCCAGCATTTAAACAGGGTATTAGCAGAACTTTTTTTTTTTTTTTTAGAAAATAGATTTTAAATAAGATTCAGGATTTATGCATAGAATTGGGTTTGAAAAGCTATAAAAAGCTACTTTGTACAATTTGTTAGTGAAACACAGAAACAGGATGTTCTTCACAGAATAGGATGTTTTATTTCAGACAGGATGTTCCGCCTAAATCTACAATCCCAGTTATGAATATTCTCTACAATTTCTAGGATGTTTACATGCTACTTTACTATATACTTAATTTTATGTATACTGCTCACAAAAATAAAGGGAACGCAAACCCCTTCAGTTCCATGGTAAAATGTTCCCTTTATTTTTTTGAGCAGTATATTTTTTTAATATATAAACATCACAGAACAGAAATAATTTTTTTCACCCGTTTCCCCTTTGTTGGATCTTCTATTTCCTCCTCATTGCTATTAAACAGTATTCCTTCATACAGTTTCCCTCTATTTGTACTATCACTAATTCTGTTTCTCCTTCCCTAGATCTTTAATGAGCATTATGGTCATTTTCTGGATGTAAGATTTTCCTCCTTTTAAAAATAAAATACAGAATTGACATTAGGGCCTAGCACATGGAAAACACCAAGCTACTGAATTTTGCCAGAGTTGAGTTGAAGCCTTCTCCATCCAGTACCCCTAAAGCCTCTGGACATTGAAAAATCACCTGAGACATATCACCTGGTTAGCCTAGGGTGGATAATATCATCAGCATATTGATAATACTTTACTTTGGGCCAGTAAATGACCTCAGCCAGCAGCTTCACGTGCTCTTTACTCCTAGCATCCTGAGCTGATCCAAAAGGATACTGATACTGAAAGCTGCTGATATATTAAAGAATACTATGGAGGACACACCACTTCCTTTTCTAGAAGTCATTCGCAAGCAAAAGCATTGCTGTCGTGGCCCCCTATCCAGTTCTGAAGCCTGACCAAAAGGGTCCAGATAATCCACTTTTTCAAGGTTCTCTCTTCAGCACAACTACTTTGTCAACAATCCTCCTTATAAAGGGAAAGTTGGAGACAGAAAGAAAATGGTCCAATATGGCTGAGTCCAACAATGGTATTTTAATATTTCCTGAAGATGGATGATTCAGTACAAACGGAAGGTGACATTTTATTGAAAATAAAACCAGGCCTGGTCTTGTGTCAATAATAGTGTTATAATAAAAAATATCTCTGGTTATTTACTTATGAATCTATACCATATCCTGATTATTTTATTGTAGTCATGACTCATTTATTGTAATCACCTTTAGATTACAATTTGCCTTCTGTACTATGCAATAGCTGAAGGAAAAGAGACTATATGGTGAACAGAGGATATAGCCAAACTCTTATCCACCACAATTATAGATGTGGATGATCAAAAAGGGAGAGATAAAGCTCCTCCCTAAACTGGTTATTCATTAACACATATAGACTATAAGGAACATAACTTCTTTTGAGCTAACTGCTCTGAAACATTAAGTATTATTAATAGCAAAGCAAAGCAAACTAGAACATAGAAAGCTTCTGAAGAAAAAGTATCAGAAATGACTTTTCCCAATATTTAAATTTTATTATTTATATCATAACTGGATTATTTTTAGAATGTTTGGGAGATTTAAAATATTAAAGCAAGTTATTTAATAACAAGGTCAGTGCAGAAGTGCCTCTCTTCAACCAACTGGGGAAAGAGAGGGCATTCCTCAAAATAGTTACAATGACTGTGAGCATACTTTGTGCTCTGGCTTGGCTTATATCATTTCAGCCAAATATTATTTATTCGGTAAGTCATGAATACAACTAAGGGACACATTCATTAACTTAGTAGGTTTCTTATAATGATCAGGCTGGTATAGCTAAGAATTTAACCCCAGTTCTAACTAGGAAGAAGAGTTTTGTTCTAGGTGTAATACTTACCTATAGGTATGTCTATGGAGATTCTCAGTCACCCAAGGTCATGGTTTTCCAAAAAGTGCTTTTTCAAACGGCAACTGGACTTTCCTTGAAGACGTTTCGCTTCTCATCCAAGAAGCTTCTTCAGTTCTGACTGATGAAGGATGGAAGGATTTATATTCCTCGCAGTCTCCATTCTGGACAGAGAGGATTGCTGGTTTGAAAGAGGGGTCAAAGAGCCCTTCTACCTTAAGATTGAACAGCCCTCTCTCAACAGAGGAGGGATACAATATGACCTATCTACTGCTTATAACACAGTCCGTTCAACAGTTCTAAGAAGGTTCAACACCAATTTGCACTATTCACGTGACCCTGAGGGCAAGATAAACCTTCAAGTGACCTCAATGACTCTCAGAGTGCTAATGACCTGATGAAAAGAATATAAATCCTTCCATCTTCCATCATTTAATCTGAAGAAGCTTCTTGGATGAGAAAGTGAAACATTTTCAATGAAAAAACAAAGTCCAGCTGCCTTTTGAAAAAGCACCTTCGGGATTACCTACTGATAGAAAGCAGTGAAAATGGCAACTGAAAGAAAACTCAACTTACTAATTGGAAGAAATAAGTAAGTTACCAAGATTCAGCTACAGGTAGTCCTCGACTTGGAACAGTTCATTTAGTGACCGTTCAAAGTTACATCAGAAAGTGACTTATGACTAATGGCCAATGCAGCTTATGGCCAATGTAGCATCCTCATGGTCACGTAATCAAAATTCACACATTTGGCACCTGACTCATATTTATGACAGGAAGCCAGATTTGCTTAACAATCGCGTTACTAACAACTGCAGTGATTCACTTAACAAACTGTGGCAAGAAAGTTCGTAAAATGGAGCAAAATTTACTTAAGTATTTCGCTTAGCAACATTTTGAGCTCAATTGTGGCCGTATATCGAGGACCACCTGTACCACATTTTCAACTGAAGTACCAGTGAAGCTGGACTAAACCTTATTTTGGGAAAAAAAATGTTGAGGGTTTGTGTTTCTGTCTCTACCGTTTTCCTGGAACATGTTGCATTTGGTGTACAAAATTTAATAAATGAATAGAACTCTTATTACAGTTTCTCAGAGTTAAATATTCTTAACTAGAATTTTGACATGGAGATCTGAGGGGATTCTTGGATTCAAATGGTTTTGCTTTGTGGAATAAAATATTTAGTAGTAGCTACTTGACTTTTGACTTTCCCGTTTAGAACCAATGTATATGTTGTATAACAAAAACAAGAAGAGCTAGGTCAAAAGTTCAGTTAAACTATAAAGATCATTGGGTAACCTTTGTTCTGTTAACTGGCTATCACACACAGTAAGCTAAATCACACACTAACCTAGAATACACCCAATATTTATTCAACATGTTCATATATTTAGTTAGAAGTTTCAAACAAAAGTACTCATCATTAATTTATTGAAGGGTCAGGTACATCAATGACACAGTTTGACATGTGGTTTAATTTTGGACTAATGTAGACACATTTTTTTCACAGAATCAAAAGTTTGAATTCACTCTTAGTTAAAAGATGCCTCCTGCCAATACAGTATCAAAGATAACTGAACATTTGCCCCAGACCAGCAATATCTCTATCTGGAAAAAACGTTTGTAGATTCCAAGGAATTTGCTCCAAATTTTAAAGCATTAAGCAGCATTAATTACAAAGGATCTAGCCCTTTCTTATACTGAGCAAAATATATCTGAATGTTCTTGTTCAAATTTACTCTGGAATTATTATGTTCCTTAGTCTGAATAAAGGCAAAAGAAAACATTGTGATATAAGTAGCACCTTCTTTTACAGTCAGTTTCATAAGGAAACAAAAAAACAAGAGGCCCAAATAGTGAAAGCAAGTATCTTCAAAGACATCCCTGTATAATTTATATAGTTCCTAACAGTGAAGCACTTTGAATTTGATCTCCAAATGTGCTTTGGAGAGCCCTGGAATGCAAATGTAGCTCCATTTGCAACACCTTAAAGCAGTTCCATCTTTTCCTTGGATAGTGCAACTGATGAACAGGCCCAGGAAATAGTCACAGCTGCTGTAAATCATTTAAAGAGATGTTACATTCACGCTCCGAAACCCTTTTGAAAATAGGAATTAAGACTATGAAGCACATTGGATTGTGTGTTGGAATATAGGCAGTGAAACAGAAATATGGATCAGAAAAAAATACTCCTCTAAGCCTATTGCTCTTTCCCCCCAATCCTTTATATCTATAGGCAAAAGATATAAATGAAGTTCTTTTCTTGAATATTTCTTTTCTTCATCATTCAAGACACTAATACAGCTTGACAGCTGCAGAGAAAATTCTCTTCTAATATGAAGTAAGAAGATGTGGATAATTCATTTGTAAACAGAGCTGTTGGTGTCCTTAGTATAAATTAATACTCCCAAATCATAATTTATAAGGAGTAGAGCAGTAACCCAGAAAAACTGGCTAAAGGATTTTAGAACTGAAACTTCAATTCCATCCTGTCCATAGATTGGCAACATAATAAATAATATACATCAGCATAATAAATCAGCTGATGACTAAAGAACAATAGGGAGACCAGCAGTCTTCACTTGCACTTGTGCTGACACATCTATGGTAGCCAATGTAGAAGATGATCCAGGTTCAGTGCTTACTCTGAGGAGATCCATATTTACTTAAGGAAGTTGTCTAGTTTAGTCTGATTGATGCCAGAAGCAGAAGGTATTATTTCTGTTTGCTTTGAAACAGTTCTTTTCTTGCTTTTCATAGTCAAGGGCCGAATCTCTGTTGGAAAAGTCTAAAACCAGTCAAGGAAAAGAACCATATATAAAGCAGTGTTTTCTTGTGATCTCTAGAGTTCTGAGTCTATTAAATTCACAAGAAAGAACTGCAGTAAATTTTCTCCAGATTTCTCCCACTAATTATAGATATTTATAGCAAGATCATTTGAATGAATTCAAAGTAATTATTATATAGAGATAATATTCTCCTCAGTAAATTCCATTTTTCCAGCTGCTTCTGATGCCGAATAAACTGCAAGACAAAACTATGTTCTCATAAAATATGTTCTCATTAAGGAATCTATATATCTCAGCAATACGTCTAAAACTGGATCAGTCTTAACTTCTAAAATGTTAGCATAAAGGATACAGGTTGAATGAACTTAGTTCTGCCTCCTAAGCCATCATACCCAATTCTTACCTAAAAAAGAGAGAATTTAGTAATTATTTTGAAGAAGATATTAAAAAGGGTCAAATACCATTTTGAGCAGGTGATTCTAAGGCTCCCTGTTTCTCTCCAGAACATCTGAACTTGGGTGGGACTGTGAAAAGACTCTAAGAAACTGAATAAAAATGTATGGGTGAAGACATCACTTATAAGAGTTTCAAAGTCCAGCATCAGACATTACGCTGCTCAGAGTCACCTTGAACACTTTGATAGGTAGCAAATAAATTTAATAAATAAAAAATAATAATTGTGTTCCAAAGGAAATTAATAGCTAGTAAAAATGGCACTAGGATGATATAGTCTACTCTAAATGCAAAAAAAATGGCAAGCAGGCCACATTTTCACAAAGATGTATCAAATCATATTAAAATGACAGATGTTGATATACTGTACATCTGGAAGAAAGAAAGATACTTTCTTTTCAAGACAATGAAAGAAGTACCAGGAACAACAACTATAACCAGATTCTTTTATTGTACACTCTAATAGCAAACTGAGCATTGACAAGACTATTACTAAATCAACTTGGTGATACCAGTAAAGTTAATAGAATATCAAGATTTGTAGATATTTTAAACATGGTTAAAATATTAAGAGAAAAGTTAAAATTCCAAGACCCAAGATCCCCATAATTTAACTGTAGTATTGATCAGAAACCCTTAAACACTGTACCCTTTTATGTTAATCTCATTTGAATGATACTTACAATTCCTGTATTTTTCTGGGGTTTGCTTTTTAGAACAGTTTTCTTAGTCAGGACTGACTTTCTTATAAAAGAAGGTAAAAGATCTTCTAGATGCTCATCATCTGTGTCAGTAGAGCAGTTCTGATTTTTTAAGAAATTAAAGTTAATGTATTAATACCTAAAACTAAAATTAATGTAAAATTAAAATTAACGTACTTCCAATTGCAATATTTAATAGGCAACGAGTATGCAGCAAGTCCAGTGTTGTGGCAAAGAAACCAGCTTCTTCAAATATTCTTTGAGAAAACCATTTGTCTTAAATAACAGCTTTAAAGTTTTCAAAGTCAGCAGCTCTGGTCCCAGAAAACAGGTCACAGACAGAACACATAGATAAACAAACAAACAAACAAACTAACAAACAAACAAATTCAAAGTTGGCTTACAGAATAGACCTCAGGCGTTTTTGGGAAGAGTTTGATCCTGTGACTCCCGAGGACATGGACAGGATACTGGGACGGCTGAACACCACCACATGTTTACTGGACCCGTGTCCCTCCTGGCTGGTACTGGCCTCCCGGGAGGTTACACGAGGCTGGCTCCAGGGAATCGTCAGCGCTTCTTTGAGTGAGGGGTTCTTGCGGGCCGCCTTGAAAGAGGCGGTGGTAAGGCCCCTCCTCAAGAAGCCCTCCCTGGACCCGGCTGTTTTGGCCAACTACCGTCCTGTCTTCAACCTTCGCTTTCTTGCGAAGGTTGTTGAGAGTGTGGTGGCACGACAGCTCCCTTAGCACCTGGAAGAAACTGTCTATCTAGACTCGCGCCAGTCCGGCTTCCGGCCTGGGCACAGCATGGAAACGGCATTGGTCGCGTTGGTTGATGATCTCTGGCTGTTCCTCTATCCTGGTCCTGCTAGACCTCTCAGCGGCTTTTGATACCATCGACCATGGTATCTTGTTGCACCGGTTAGGGGGGTTGGGGGCACCGTTTTACTGTGGTTCTCCTCCTACCTCTCGGACTGGTCGCAATTTGTGTTGGCAGGGGGGCAGAGGTCGACCTCGAGGTGCCTCACTTGTGGGGTACCACAGGGGTCGGTTCTCTCGCCTCTCCTGTTTAACATTTATATGAAGCCACTGGGTGAGATCATCCGTGGTTTCGGGGTGGAGTTTCATCAGTACGCAGATGACACCCAGCTGTACATCTCCACCCCGGACCACCCCAACGATGCCGCGGAAGTGATGTCCCGGTGCCTGGAGGCCGTGAGAGTCTGGATGGGGAGGAACAGGCTTCGACTCAACCCGTCCAAGACCGAGTGGCTGTGGTTTCCGGTGTCACGACATAGCCAGTTGGCTCCATCCCTGGCTATCGGGGGGGAGTCATTAGCCCCCGCGGAGAGGGCCTGCAACTTGGGCATCCTCCTGGACACTCGGCTGTCTTTAGACGATCATATGACAGCCGTGGCCAGGGGGGCTTTTCATCAGGCTCGCCTGATACGCCAGTTGCGCCCCTTTCTGGATCGTGACGCTCTACGCACGGTCACTCAAGCCCTCGTTTCCCGCCTGGACTATTGCAACGCTCTCTACATGGGGCTCCCCTTGAGGTGCACCTGGAGGCTCCAGCTAGTTCAGAATGCGGCCGCGCGGGGGATTTTGGGGGCCTCTAGATACTCCCATGTAACACCTCTCCTGCGTGAGCTGCACTGGCTGCCTGTGGCCTTCTGGGTGCGCTTCAAGGTGTTAGTAACAACCTTTAAAGTGCTCCATGGCAATGGACCTAGGTATTTGCAAGACCGCCTCCTACCAAATACCTCCCTTCGACCAGTCCACTCCCACAGAGAGGGCCTCCTTAGGGTGCCGTCAGCCAGTCAATGCCGGCTGGCGACCCCCAGGGGGAGAGCTTTCTCTGTGGCAGCTCCTGCCCTCTGGAATGACCTATCCCCGACCTACGTACAACTGCGGACCTGCGCCTTTTTCGCCGAGCCCTGAAAACCCATCTATTTTGTGCGGCCGGCCTGGCGTAGTCTTAATTAGGTTTTAGTATAGATTTTTATATGGGGTATTTTAGAGCAGGCCTTTATTTATTTAATTTGATTTTAGAATAGATATTTATTGTGATTTTTATTATCGCCTGTTCACCGCCCTGAGTCCCGTAAGGGAGATAGGGCGGTATACAAATCTAAATAAACATAAACATAGCATTAATACCGTTTCCCCAAAAGTAAGCCCTACCCTGAAAATAAGCCCTAGCTTGATTTTGGGGGATGGGCCTAATATAAGCCCTATCCCAAAAATAAGCCCTAGTTTTGGGTTGGAACACACACTTAAAAATCAAGCTAGGGCAGGGGTGGGAGGTCTGGATCTGCCCTATGTGCCCTGCACCCAATTACCTTGAAGCCAGGCCTCCCCTCACTGGCCCATTTCTTCTGAGTTGTCTTCTGCAGCCAGGCCTGCATTTCTCAGTCACAGGCCTTTCCTGAAGGCCTCTGCAGCCAATGACCGAGCTAGATTCAATCCATAGATCGGTACTCGGCTGCCTAGGCCTTCCAGAAAGGCCTGACTGCAAAATGCAGGCCGGAATGCAGCTGCAGAAGAAGGCTGGGCGGGGCTGTCAGTGCCAGAGGTGAGTAAGACATCCCCTGAATGTAAGACCTGTGCCTCTTTTGGAGGCAAAAAAAATAAAATAAGACCAGATCTTATTTTCGGGGTAGATGTACCACCTAAAACATGTGTTGCTGTGAAGTCAATAATTATTCAATATTTGCATAGAACTATATTTTAATAGTCTTGAAGGGGACTGGGGTGAGGCAATTACAAACTGTATGACAAAATGTATTAATTACTGTACCTCCATTGTTCCTTTCAGAACTCTTGATAAATTTGTCACAGATGCCCTAAAACAAACATATACATAGAACATAATGTTAATAGCCACTTAGATGTCCTAAATGAGTCTCATTCTAAGCTTTCATCTAAAAATAAGCCTGCTGAATACTTCCAGTGAATGCCATTGCGAACTGACCTCCCTAGAACAGAGGGACAACATTGCAGTTGAAAACAACATCTGAATGCCGGATTTGAATGGTTCAAATCATTCTGGAGAAAGGAGAAATCTTTAGATTACCCACATCTACTCCAGACAGCTGATTATTATTATGTTTTGCTCAGCAGATGGCAGAAACTGGTTTCATGGTTAGCTTGCAATTGGCTGGAAGTTGCAGGATTTCACCTAGCTTAAAGCTGCTAATGTAGCCTATATGGATTCTAGGTTTGGCCAAGGCTCACCTCTTAATAATTTGGATTTAATATTTTTTTTGCTCCTTCTTAAAAGATTGAGAACCTTTAGATTGGCAAGTCTTATTGAAAACACTGGGTGAGTTTTCTTCAATCCTTTAAAAAATAAGTTTTAACAACAAGTTTAAAGATGTAAAAAATAATTATAGAATATGCAGCAAAAGGTTTGTTGGATTTAGAAAGTTTTAAATGGATTAAAGGTTCAGATGGACATGATTTAAGATTTTTGAAGTTAATTGAAAGAATTCTTCCCTTGGGGAAATATCTGTTTATATTTAAAAACAACTGAGAAGATAACATTGAAGGTTGAACACAAGAAGGCACTAAAAAAAAGTGGATTAATGGCTGCCTTAAGAGAGATCTATCATGAATGTGCTCAGAAAGTTATAAAAGTTAATAAAGTCTTATTGTTTCTATTGGGTTTCAATTACCTTTAAATAGTAGACTTGCAAATTATAAATTGTTCTTTCAGAACTCTTTGTGTGCAACAATTGAGATGGCTTTTGTAAGACATTTACAGAAATCAGAAAAATAAGGGCAATATTGTTTATAAATTCAGTTATATTTGAGGCATGTTTCTGCAGGGATCAAGAACTACTAAATTACATTTAATTTCTAAAGCTTAGCCATAGAATTTAAGATAATTGAAAAATTATTCATGGCATTTGCATAAAATGGAATATGAGGCAGATTGAGCAAATATAGGAATAATAAAAGTAAGAAGTTGTACTTACGGGTTTTTATCTAGCTTGATTTTTTTGGCAGGAGCAACAGCTGTCTTGTGAGGCTTTGGAGTCTCTACATCAAAGGTAGCATTAAGGTCAATCTCATCATTGTGAACAGGTTGATGAAACTTTGGATTCAGAAACTGTGCAGGAGCAGGGCTGTAAGGATCAATTAATACCACAACAGTATATAACATGATCAGTTGGATAATTACACAAATGCATCCTTCTCTGCTTCTAGCCTATTTCACATGCTATCATCCTAAAAGTTAGTACTGATATCAAAAGGAAATGGCCATAAAAAAGAATAAAGAAAACCCTGTTTAAAAAATAAGCCAATGATCAAGTATTATGTGTTCTTACGTTGGATACTGGCTACATGTATCTTCATATCCTATCCTAATATTCTGGAAAACACATCCATCAATTCACTGCCCACTGTTAATCTTTTACAAATAACTAAAGGTGGCAAACATATCCAACACAACATATCCAACAGATATTGCTACCCTGCTTCATCATGGAAGGGCAGTGTTCTTGGGAGGGATGAGCAAAAAATACTGGGAATGTTCAATAAGAGTATATACTCAGAAGAGTATTGGGAGAAATTGAAGAATTGAAAGTTCTGTTATTTTTAGTTCTTTGAGTTGCCTCGCTCAACAGTTAATAAAAATAGGATATTAAAATATTTCTATATCTATACAATTAATTTCTCTAAATACTATCCAGAATCTACATACATATAGGTGCCATTTGCTTCGCTACATATTGAACATTTATAGGACCCTTCTCAATGATTTTATTTGCTTATATAGGGATATAATGCCACCTGTGAATCATTTTTAAACATTTTTCTCTGATGCTTGCTGATATTAATTATAATATGGAATTGTGTGTGAGTCCATTGGGTGTCAGAGATAATATGTTCTCTGATTTGTCAGCCACTTAATTTCTATTTGTTCTCTTTCTCTTATCTGTCTGTCTGTCTTTAAAGGCTGCCCAAATATAGAATGACTCATTCAAATTACACCAAAAGTAGATAACAATAAAAAAGATTGCATACATACATACAAGATATTCCATATAATAGAAAACTTTACTAACAACCCAGAGTTCTCATATTTTAGAAACATTACGCAAAGACCTGTTGACAAGTCTATAATATTGAGAAAGGTGGAAGGAGCCAGCAGCAAGGACTTGATTAAAGCAGCAACAGGTGCACAACTGCAAATCTTGAAGGACCAGGTTGAATACAAATGATCCTGGAGAAGCTCTATGTATGTGGTTGCTAAGAGTTGATACCAATTTGATGGCTAATAATCAAACACATCCTGCTATAAGAGTTTCTACATTTCCACTGCAATTTTGTTAGGATTATACAGATGCCAGTGTGGTAAATGACAAAATACTGGAGTTTATTAAAAGGGTCAAACTCTCTTAAAAGGAAAACTCTCTTCCCCAAATATTGGAATACCGCTGTCACTCAGATCCTTACTGGACTAAGTGACAAAGTTAACTGATACGATGTAAGAAGAAACTTCATAGTCTGCATAGTCTAAATGTCTGCATTTATTATACAGTTTAGGCATAATATCTTCATTGTTTCAAATGTTAATGTTCTTCCTTCGCTAACCTTTCAGAGACAAGCCGGCTAAGTGCTTCACTGGTTAACGATGGCACTTTTATGGTATCTTGTAGCACTCCTATCTTTTTTTTCAAACTCTGGGGGGAAAAAAAGAAGAAATTAAAAAAAAAGACAACTTTAAAGTCAAGATATATATTTTCTGTTTTGTATTGATTACGGGTTGATTTTGAGGGAGAGAAAACTGCACGCTTTCACTTCAATGGGAAAATGTTTGAAAAGAATGTTAAGTTATGAATAGGGGACACAAATGATGCATTGAATAAAGGCCGAAAGGAAAAGTTTTACCATAATCTCCTTATCTGCATTTCTCAGATCTGTCTGTGTATTTCTCAGTTCTTCAGTTGTTTTCCCCAACTCTAGAACAATTTTCTGGAGCTATAGATTAAAAACTACGTGTCAGAAAAGCAGAATTCAATGAGGACTAAAATTACACACAGTTTTATGTATCCCAAAATTACCATAATTGTGCTTAATAAAAGCACATTCCCAAATGCAATGTTTTTAAAATTTATCACATTATAACAGAAGCCCGAAAGAGCCATCTTGAATGTGAACAGCTCACCTACGATAGAATAATTTTTTGGCCTATCAAAGTACCTGCCGGAGTTTCAGGGAGACTCACAAGAAGCTATTAATGCATCCTGAAGCACTACTTTATTACTGGTAAATCTATAAAGAATTTTTGTAATTCTCAGTATGTGCTCAAAAAAGTTTTTTTTAAAAAAAAATCAGCCTTCTATATTTTGCCCTAATAGCCTCCAGATAGTTTATTTGGTAGGATGGGCAGAAAGAGAACGACCCAAAAGTTATTCAGTGAATTTTCATTCCTGTGTGTAAACTTGAACTTAGTGTTCTCCAATTCCAACTGAACACTTTAACCACTAACCAAATGTACTTATGCAGTTATATATTATTGAGACGTGCCTGCATTATGTACAATGTATCAAAACAGAATAATTGGCACATATTTCAATATATTTCAGTGACCTATAGATTAAAAGGCATGTACTCCTCTCTCTCTGGTAGTTGAGATCTTTATCTCAGTGAGTTGGGAGCTTGACTGGCTGTTGACATTTCATATACCTGCTCTTAGGATATATTATTTAGTAGATGTTGCTACATTAATCATTCCCAAATAGGAACAAATGGGCATGAAAAACAGGATTTAAAGGGTGTTTTCCCCCCTATATCTTTTTACAGAATAATTACCAAGAAACCAAAGTAGGCTCAGATATCAATGTCCCTACAGTTTGTAGTTGGTGACCCAACCTCCAATTACAAATTACTTTTACCCAAGTATCCTGGAACACGATATAGAGGAAAGGTGCAAATGGATGACTATTGCTCAGCATCGTTAAACAATTCTGTTCCATCTGCCATTCTGAGTTAATTTTTTGGGCTGACATTCCTTGTATTAATTTTGAACAATCTCAGAACAGGGCATTAAGGCACATTCTAATTAGGACATGTGCCTCCGTTCATTCCAATGAGACAGCAATGTTATTGTGAATATTTCAAGGCAGTCAGTGTTTAATTAAAGAGGATAGGAAAGGAACAGCTATATGATAAATTGAAATCACTACTAACAAATAGTTGCTGACCTCTTCTGGCTGACCTCTGAAATTGGTGTGCTCACTGGTGACACAGATTTTAATAAGGAAGAATTGATTGATATAAATCACACTTCACTAGATTTTTCTCTTTTGTGTGTGTGCAGAAATTGATGAACAATTTGCCAGTTCTGCGTTGCATGGTTACACAGACAAACTGATGGATGAAACAGTGACAATTTGAATCAGGAGGGTTCAGTTGAACTTAACTTTCCAGTTAATAAGTAGCTACCAAATTGACCATGCCATTGGCCAAACAAAAAATGTACTTAGGTGACAGTACAGAGAATGAATTTTAAATAGATGCTCTGCATGTATCTGCAGGAATATTAATGCAACCTTTACCTTATGATTAGCAGAAAACAACTCCTTTCTCAGTTTTTCGACTGTATCATTTGATGCTTTCTGGGACTCCTTCAGACTTTCATACTCCCTGAAAGAGCCACAACTAGTCAGTCAACCTATGGAGTTTGCTTGCAAACAAGGTCTTGGATTGACAAAATAAAGCCAGTAAACAAATCTCAAGTCATTATTTAAGTGGCTGCAAAAGTTCCTGTTACATATAAACAAGCAGTTTCAGTGTTGAACAGGCCAGCATTGATTTGCACAGTGTTAACACACTGACACCACAGAGCAGGTGAGAAAACATACTTTCACAAGGGTTTGGAATAGATATTAAAATGGCAGAAAAGCATATATCAAAGCGCAAAGCAAACAATCTTTACTTATAGCAATGTTTTATATTTTACTGAATTCACACCTCACTGAAATGATATGTAACACGTTTTTGTTTTTTTTTAAAAAGTTTAGCTTGTGAAATCATTTTAGTAGTATTATAAAACAGTGCTGAAGCTATTGGTTACAATGCAGATATTTCATGGTGTAGCTCATTATTAAAAGTTGTGATTATTCATTTGCTAAATGTTGCCTGCAGAAGTTGCAAATTAAACATGGTATAAATAGAAAGACCTCTCACACACCCTGTAGGGACCAGCAAGTACACTGTACTTATTGTGCCACAGCTACACAAAACACTTTGCCCTGCACAGGGGAGATATTCAGAGGCCATGCTGTATTACTCAGAATCATTACAATCATCCATCTCTTCCGTTCCCATCAAACAATCAGCTCCTAAAAACCCTGGCAAACCTTTAAAAGCAGTTTCCATAGCAATGATGTGTCACTAATACAACAATATAGTATGCTTGCTGTGTTGAAAATCTTCCATTTATGCCACCTTGATAGCAGCAGGGCTCATGATATAGAACAAACTGCCAGCAGGAAAAAGGCTCAAAAATTTGTTTATTCACTCAAATCTTTTAACAGCTCCAAAATTTAATCTTTATAGTTTTTTAAAATGATTTGCTTTTAAAAAAATATTATAAATTTTATAGTATTTCTGCAATCCTCCTGGAGCCCTTAATGGAGCGGACAGCATTTGCTAAATAAATAAAAACATTATTTGACTCCCTGTTTGTAGCTAGATATCTTACTCACTGCTTCTTTAGAGGGTGCTATGCAAAATGCCTGAGCCAGTACACTTTCGAACGTACTTTTTCAGAGAGATGCAATAGACTGCAAGCTGTTCTACTGCTGCTTGCCCTGCTCCCATTTCACGGATCATCTCTTCTACTTGGGAACGCTGACCCTGCAACAGTGCCTCAATTCTGGAGAGGAGATAGGTAGGTTAGGAGTTTTCTGCCTCTGCTAGTCATAGTACAAACATAATAAAAAGGAGTAGTGTATTTCAGAATGGTAAAAGTTCTACCCTGCCCCAAAGCTTTCCTCAAACATCTACTAGTATATTTCAGCCTTGCTGCGTGAAATTTGCACTGCTAGTAGATTAGAAGTTATATAAACAATGAACAAGCATCAGTGAGTTCAGGTCTTTTCTAAGTAGTTTAAGAACAATTACATATTTTTGTTCCTTGTTTATAATCAGCTGTTTGATTGAGAAATAGGAACAATTCACATGCCATTTCTCGTATTTATTATAGGCATCCTGACAAATGAAAAACCATTAAAGCCTTGGAGTACTAGAGTTCTGTCCATTTTATTAGTCTGGACCATTTTCAATCATATCCGTGAACAAAAATAGGATGAGGAACTGGGAATACAGTAGTCCTCGACTTACGACCACAATTGAGCCCAAAATTTATGTTGCTAAGTGAGACATTTGTTATGTGAGCTATGACCCATTTTACCACCTTTCTTTCCACAGTTGTTAAATGAATCAGTGCAGGTGTTAAGTTAGTAACATGGTTATGTGAATCTGACTTCCTCATTGACTTTGAAATGGTACAGTTTCCTGCCTGAGCAGAGGGTTGGACTAGAAGATTTCCAAGGTCTCTTCCAACTTTATTATCTATCTATCTATCTATCTATCTATCTATCTATCTATCTATCTATCTATCTATCTATCTATCTATCTATCTATCTATCTATCTATCTATCTATCTATCATCTATCTATCTATCTTTTTTTCAGGGTTGTCATAACTTCCAGGGTCACTAAATGAACTGTTGTAAGTTGAAGACTACCTGTACATACATGATCCTGGAAAAGAAGTTTAATTTAGAATTACATTTTCCTGCTAGACTAAATTAGGATAGTTTGTCCAGCAAATCTAGGAATGATTCAGAATGGCAGTGGTGACATTAGTAAGGGAAACTTAGTTAAAAATATATCCTTCATTAAAACCACTGCAATTTGCTCAGATATTAATTCAGTATTCAAAAGAGAATCATCTTTTATACATGAAGTTGGAATTACATATTTTCTAGAATATTGTCTATAAGATAAAGCTTCTCTAACCTCTCCATAGATTTCACCTTCCTTCGTAATTTTTGAGTTTCTTCTTTTGCACTCTTTGTTTCTTCTTGTTCCTGTTCTAAATATCTCATTTGTTTCTGAAAAAAAGAAATACTAATGTATAAAAACAGTTTTCTAACAGCAACACAGACTTAACATCAATCTATCTCAAAGGCTTTAATTCACAACCTACATTTTGGATGTCTGGAAATCAACGTTTATTGTTCTAGACATTGAGTGATTGAGAAAGCCAAAGAAAACCCAAAAGAAGTCAAAACATGCTTCATTGATTATAGAAAAACCTTTGGTCATGTCAAGCTATGGAAAGTGCTTAGAAAAATGGGAATCTCAGAGTATTTCATTGTCCTCATATGAAACCAATATACAGCTCAGGAAGGCATGGAACGGGCAAAAGACTGTGAAACAGATTGGCTTTCGGTTGACAAAGGAATGAATATTCAACCTTTGTGCTAAAAATATATTAAGAGAATCTGTTTTGGAAGATGAATATAGCTTTAAAAAGAAATAAAAACTTATATTACACCGATGACACTAATTTCATAGCCAAAACTGCAAAGGATCAGCAAGTAATAAAAGTCAAGGAGCATAGAGAAAAATGGGATTAACTTTAAATATAAAGACCAAATTAATGATAACATGCAACAACCTGCCTTAGAATGGACACTAAAGATACAAAAGTGGCAGATACCTTCTTTCTCTTAGGATCAACCATCAACAGCAAAGGAGTCAGCAATCAAGAAACATGTTGCAGACCAGCATCTAGTAGGATTGAAATGAAGGCCTTGCAAGAGATATCAGAGAGGGGCTGTATTCCAGAGAAGCAAGAGATAGTGAAGTTTGTATAGCTTGGTTGGGAGGATGAGAGTCAATATAGCTTTTTCCTAGTTCTCGGAGTATATCTTTAGTGATTTAAATAGTTTCCTTCAGATTGGCAAGATTTCAGCCTATAGGTGAGGAACAATAAGTAACGCAGCATGTCTTTCTTGGTTTTTGGAGTATGATAGAGTTACTTTATAATCTTGCATGTAATTTCTGAGTACATTGTTCCCAAAGAGCCTTAAGTTATTCTATATAGTCAAGTAGTATTACTCCAATCCGATGTATCAACGTATCTCTTCTCCTTTAATTCTAACCTCCATGGTTCCCCCTAGTCAACCTTCAAAGTCTCCTCTTATCATATATTTTCCAATCAGCAAAATTTTCCATAGGAGGATTTCTTATAGATAATTTCAGAATCTTGATAACATCTTTATAAGTTTTAAACGCCCACAAGAAAAACTCTTTTAAATCCACAAAACTGTTTCCACAATCGACTAGTCCCCCTTTTGTTGTTTTCCAAAAATCAAAGGCTTTTTTTAAAATTCTTGAACTTACATAAAGGTTATTTCATCCAGGGTAGAAGGAAATTCTCGCAGTATGGTGAAATTTTCAGATGATTCTAAATATTCAGATAAGCATTAACAAGCAAATTCCAAAAGTAATTAAAATATGAAGTAGGCAAATCTAGTGTCAGTTTAAAGATGCTGACCTCAGCTTATGAAGGATGATTTTTCTTGGTTCCGAGCTCTTAACTGGAGATCGCTATTTTACGATCTCTGATCTCTTTGCAGGCAGACTCTATATCAGTGGTGGTGAACCTATGGCACGGGTGCCAGAGGCGGCACTCGGAGCCCTCTCTGTGGGCACGCGTGCCGTCGCCCCAGTCATAGGCCTTCAGCTGGGTTTTATAAAACCTTTTCGCTTTAGGCCTCCGCTGCCGTGTGCAAAAAAAAAAAAAAAAGGTTCAATCAGTTAATTTCAACTTCTTGAGGGAAAAAAAAGATCTTGCAAAGTTGGAATTGATTGATTGAACTTTTTAGTCCCACCCAGTCTGCCGTTACCACTGTGGCCACGCCCACCCAATTGGCCACACCTACTCAATGGGCCATGCCTACCCGGCACTCGACGATGCATAAGTGGGTTTTGGATTGCAGTTTGGGCACTCAGTCTCTAAAAGGTTCGCCATCACTGCTCTATATGAAGCATACTTGTGGGTGATCCTAGCCTTTCCCTTAATCAGGAGAGGAGAGAACCAATGAAGCTTCTTGGATGAGAAGAGAAATGTCTTCCTCAGGGAAAAGAAGTCCAGTTGCCTTTCGAAGAAGCACTTTTGAAAGAACTATCACCTGGATGGCTGAGAATCTCCACAGACAATCAGGAGAGAAGTTCCAGGGAGCCAATCGGTTCACCGGCTTCTCTTTTTGCTGAGGTCATCAGCTCTGCAATTACTTCCCTGGAAGTCCACTGACACTTCTGAACTTTAGTATTGGAGAAGAGAATACCAGGAACTGCCCCCCCCAAAAGGTTTATCAACGAAATCAACCATCAGAGCTGTCATCCTGCTTCGCCCTGCCACTTTTCCGATGCCAGAACTGCCATACACCATTTTTTTTGGGGGGGGGGGAAGACATCAAATAAGGGTGGGAGAGAAGAAAGAGAAACCACTTTGAGTGCCTGCTAGAGACATTGACTGATCAGCTCCAAGGCAAACATGGCTGAACCCGCCAACCACCAGACTTGTTACTAAAACAATGGGGGTGGGGTGGGGGGAGAACGAACCTGAGAAAGGGGAAAGTAAGCGGGCACTTTTTGTGCACAAACCTCAGATTTGGCTTTTCCCTGCTCAGTAAGCACTTAATAAAAGTATTCCTTCCATTACAAAATGCAGTTGAAGATTCTTCCTTTGTAAATGGCCAAGTTGGGACAAGCCTGACATCAACGGAACGGTTGCTGGAATTGGGTATGTCTAGTTTGGTGAAGAGAAGGACAAGGGGGGACATGATAGCAGTGTTCCAATATCTCAGGGGCTGCCACAAAGAAGAGGGAGTCAAGCTATTTTCCAAAGCACCTGAAGGCAGGACAAGAAGCAACGGGTGGAAACTAATCAAGGAGAGAAGCAACCTAGAACTAAGGAGGAACTTCCTGACAGTTAGAACAATTAATCAGTGGAACAACCTGCCTCCAGAAGCGGTGAATGCGCCAACACTGGAAGTTTTTAAGAAGAGACTGGAAGCCATTTGTCCGAAATGGTATAGGGTTTCCTGCCTGAGCAGGGGGTTGGACTAGATGACCTCCAAGGTATCTTCCAACTTTACTACTACTACTACTACTACTACTACTACTACTACTACTACTACTACTACTACTACTACTACTACTACTACTATTATTATTATTAACCCAAAGTTCTCCCTTAAGGCACAAATTACCAGGCTCAAATTATCCTACTTTGGACACATTATGTGAAGACCTAATTTTCTGGAGAAGTCTTTGATTCTGGGAAATGTGGCAGGAAAGAGAATAAGACCAGCAGCAAGTGGATGGGGTTAGTTACAGGGTTAATGAGTGCACTATTAGGTTAGGGACAGCTAGTCATGGAAGAAATCTATCTGCTTATAGTCCTCAAGTTACAATGGCAATTGGGATCAGAATTTCTGTCACTGAGTGATGTGGCCATCAAGCAAAATGTCACGTGACCGCATTGCTTAGACAGGGCAATCCCTGCAACCCCTGTTAAGTGAGCACCGCCTTGCAAATTCCTAACAGCTTCCAACAACCAAAGTCACTCTGGAAGCCAGCAGGAAGGTGTGAGTTTCAGGTGCCTTTCAAACAGCTGGCAGGTTAGTAGCTGCTGCCAGGTGGCAGAGGGGTGTGTGTGCCTGGGTAATTGGGAAGATGTGGCACAAATGTGATGGGGTTTGGGGTGTTTGATCCCAGGTATGGCAGGGTATGCAAACGGTTGGGGAGATGCAACACAAGCACAGTAAGGTTCAGGGAGGGTGTGTGGGTGAACCAGTGTGATGCAAGCGCAGATGGACTGGGGGAGAGCGTGCGGATGGGAGAGACTTATTTGAGCAACTTGTGACCTTCCTTGCTCGCTTCCCCGTTGTGTTTTCTTGAGGGAAGCAGGCAAGGAAGGTCCCCAAACATGAAGCTACAAGCATTGTAGGTATGAGCTGTTTGTCAAGCACCCACAACTATAGGAGTGTTGGAATGATTGGAACTTTGAGGACTTGTTCAACACTGTCATAATTCTGAATGGCCGCTGAATGAGTGGTTAACTGAGGACTAAGGATATGAGGTTGCTAAAAATTGACGCTGATTTGATGGCACACGATCAGTCAATCAGATATCAATGTGCCATAATATTTTTGCCTCAGTATTTCTAATCAAACAAAATATTTTCTTTTAAAAATTCAACAGATGACTATTAAATACTTCCAATAGAATGTATCATGTAACAAAGTGATAGGAGAGCATATATCTTTGCCTCATCAAAAAGAAACCATGATACTATATAAATATTATTTTTTAATGTTCATTTTTCACATAAATTGACCATTATTGAAAGCTTGAATTAAAATGCTTTTTAATAATTTTACGGAGGAAAAAATATAGAAAGAAATTACTTCCCCCTTCATTATGCCAAGGACAAACGTTTTCAGTAACCATATACTTACAATTTCACATTTCTTTCCATTTTTTAATACAGTATTGTCATTTTCTCTAGATACAAAGGAAACCCCCTCCTTTTCCCATATCTTATCTAACGTCTTTAAAACCTCATAATTCAAAGTTAATCAAGAAAAATTCCATTAGTTGTTACCAAAGAAATATATCATACATCTTATTCTTTAATTCCTTCAAATGACGTCACACAAATTGAATTCTTATCAGATTTTCTTCATCTGTTCTCAATTTTAATATCAGCTCATCACTTTCTCTAAAAATGCAACAAAAACTCTCTTTTTCCCCTATCTTAGTTTTAAAAGCTTGCTAGAAAAAAAAAGAATCTAATATGTTTTAACCTTGTACAAATAAACTAACTTTGTAAACCTTTCTTTTACTTTTAAGGGTCTTGATGTTTATTCCTTTTAAGTAAAGTCTCCAAAGATGATTTCTTTTCTTTCTCTCTTTATCTTTTCTTAGGAATTTCTTCATAATACATCTCTTTTGTAAATCCAAAATAAGAGAATTGTCCATTAAAATGCAGTTTCCATGAATAAGAATAAGGTACACAGGTTCAATGCAGTGGGCATTAAAAGGGCTTGCACTACTGTTTGGGAATAATAGATTTAATTTGATGAAAATCATTATGTATTGGAATTGAAAAAATGATGACTGTTTAGATTTGGATGCTTTTAATAATTAATGGAGTGTTTTAAATTAGTAGGATGACCTTTTTGTATGACAACAAAGACGTGATAAGGCATGATAAGCAATTGGAGAAAATTTGAATTTTGTTTGATGAATTTGAATGAATTAAGGTTTAATATTATCTTGTTATTTTAAAGAGGGCTGATTCTGATATGTATAGGGCTGATTAATATTTTATTGTTATTAGGATATCAATTGTGTAGTGGAAGAAGAAATAAATGAGATTGGTGATAAAATGAGGGATGTGAGAGATTAAGAATTAGAATTGATAATTTGTTGTTTTAAACTTAAACTATGGTAATTGTAAACTGATAAAGTTATAAAACAGGTTTAGTAGTAATAGAAATTTAAAATAGAAATGGAATATTTAAATGTATCATGTTAATTGAGGGAAATAGAGAGGGGATAGTGAAATGTATTGAGTTGAGTTGTCTATATATGTCTTTACTTTTGAATGTTTGACCACCCAACCACCACGGTGGGTCCTGAGTACTTTTTCTTAAGAATTTAAAAAAACCAATAAAATGTGTTAAAAAAAGGGGCTTGCACTACTGTCTTAACAGGAAAAGAATAGCTCAAAGTAATTAATTTTTTACAGTTTTGGATTGTTTGAGACAGATTTCAAAGACTTTTTGAAACTAAATAGGAAGAATAGACTATTTGATTTGATTTCAAAGAAAAATATCCTCAAATCTCAGAAATATTAGAGTAATTGGTTAGTCATATGCCCCAGGCTAAAAAAAAGTTCTAACCAGCTTCATTTATAGTTCTCTATTGCAATTATTGGATTAAAAGTTAAATAAAAAGATGCACAGAAAACCTGAAAAGCCATTTTAAGCTAAACATCTTGGATATGTTGCAAGAATATTTCAAATTAAATAACAGGCTTACTCTCAGTGCTGTAAATATATACCTAATTAAAGGAGGGGTGTCTTCACTGCAATATCAGTTGTTCATGAGACTTACAATATTAAATAAAGCAAAACACAACATACTTATTATGAATATATGTATGTTCAAAATGTAACTTTAAACAAGAATCAGTTGAACACCATCCAACCTTTTAAAGAGCATTCACGGAAAAAAAAATCTAATGGCAGGAATATGAACTTATAACTAATCTACATCAGTTGCAGAAAACAATTATGAAATAAAAACCTCTCACCTAAATGTCTCCAACTGTTGAAGAATCAAATAATATTCTGAGTTAAGACTCTCCTTTTTAAAAATCGTGATGTTGGATCTATAGTTCTACTGCTTATCTCACTATCAACTTGGCTTCCCATCAATGGATAATCTATTCAAAGATTTTGCTGCTAAAAGATGGAAAGAGGCAATTTCTTCTTTTCCTATTGCTCTTCATTTTTGCACAACCCTTCAGAACAACTTTTCACTGGACATAAGGGGGAAAAAAAAACAAGAACTCTCCAGTGGGAAGCCTCTACTAATGTCCCCTGTGAGGATATGAGGACTTTTCACTTGCTGAAGATCATCACTATTGCTTCCAACTTCCTTATCAGGGATTTATGATGGAGTGCAGTTTACTGAGGCATTTTGATTTTTCTTTTATTATGGACTGGGGGCTATAATCAACATTTATTCAACTGAAGAAAAAGCTAATCCTTACAAGTCTAAATAAACTTTTAATACAAGACATTAGCTTTACAAAATATATTTCCAAGCAACGATACAAGACATTATCTCAAACACCTTCCCACCAGTTTAATGATACATTCAGGATTGTGGTTCCCATGTCTACTATATAGATGTTAATGGAGCACAGGTAGTCCTCGACTTACCTCAGTGCGTTTAGTGACCGTTCAAAGTTACAACAGCACTGAAAAATGACCATTTTTCATAATTACGACCTTTGCAGCAGCCCCATGATCATGTGATCAAAATTCAGATGCTTGGCAACTGGTTCATATTTATGACTGTTGCTGTGTCCTACGGTCATGCGGTCACCTTTTGTGACCTTCTCACAAGCAAAGTCAAGAAAGGTCGTAAAATGGGGCAAAACTCACAACACATTTCTCTCTTAACAACAGAAATTTTGGGCTCAGTTATGGACACAAGTCGAGGACTACCTGTATAACCCTTTCACTTTGTTTAGTGATGCTTGTAAGTCTGACTGGCATTGAAATCCAATTATATGTGTTGGACCAATTGCTCTCTACCTTTGTGCAACATTTGAGCTATTTTAGTAAACCATGGAACATTGTTGAAGCAAATAGCTTTCTCCATTCTCTTAAGATTACCTTAAGAGCCAATTCTTTTTAGCCTTGCAAGATTAGTCCAAGAAAAACAATGAGCAGACTGCACCTTAACTTTCAACTTTAGAGATGACAATCATAATATAAACCCAGATAACTTTCAACATACCTTGAGTGTAGAACACAGCATTTCCACGTCAGAAACAGTTTTCTGGAGTGATTCTATAGTGGCGTTACGTAGATCCAGAGTCTCTCTCAATGAATTTACAATACATTGACAATCTCGTTTTTCTTTCTCTGAAGCAAAAAATTATAATGGAAGTAAGGGCCCAGCTGAGTTTTATAAATGTCTATATTTAGTGAAGAAAACATTCTTAACACACATAGCAAAGATCTGAGAATTGAGTGAGAAAGGGAAGGAATTTAGCCAGAGGCAGTACACTCAACAGAGCACAGAATAACAGAATTGGAAGGGACCTTGGAGGTCTTCTACTCCAAACCTCTGCTAAAGATGGAGACCCTATACCAGACATGTCAAACTTGCGATGTCACGTGACATCGCGAGACGTATCAGGACAGTTTTGCCATTGCCGGCAATGGGGTGGGCGTGGCTTCCGGATAACGCGTCCAGCCCGCGGGCCAGCAGTTTGAGACCCCTACCCTATACTATTCTGGACAAATGGCTGTCCCATCACATCTTAAAAACCTCCCACAACATCTGGAGGCAAATCGTTCCACTGATTAATTGTTCTGATTTGAGAAGAAATTTCTCCTTAATTCTAAGTTGGATCTCTCTTTAGTAAGCTTCCATCTGTTACTTCTTGTCTTGCCCTCAGGTGCTTTGCAGAATAGGTTGACTGTCCTCTCTGTGACTGTCTCTCAAATATTGGAAGACTGCTATCATGTCATTTCCCAGTCCTTCTAGTCATTAGACTAGAGATTCTCAGTTCCTGCAACCGTTCATAGTACAACTTATCCTCCAGACCCCCCCAATCACCTTTACTGTTCTTCGCTGCACTCTTTTTAGAGTCTCAGAATCTTTTTTGTATTGTGGTGACCAAAACTGGTCCACTAATTTAGTCACTTCGTCAAAGAACGCAATAAAGTCACTGACTCTCCAAAAGCTATGGGTGTATCTGGTTTTTGGAACACTCCTCTGGGAATTACTTTCTTTTCAACTTTGTGTAAATATTACGTATGTGCAAATACCACAAGGAGGGACACTTGTAAAGAAAAAGGATAGAAAAAGGATGGGCTGAGGTACTGGGGAAGAGATTCAAGCAGAATCCCCATCTCCTTTTATTTTCGACATCATCCACTATCTACTTTAGAACCAGTTACAATCTTCTAGAGTCATAAAGGACTTTTCGTGTAGATCAATGTTCTAAAAATTGTTTGGAAATCTGCCAAACCATTGCATCAATAGCACTGGATACAAAGTGCTAGAAATAATCCTTGTTAAAAACTTCCCCAGATTTCAAAGCCTCTTTTATATCACTTCAAAGGTTGTTCAATGGGCAGAGGCAATATACACACTACCTTCCTTTTTCTTGAGGATCAGAATGTACTCCAGCACAGAGGTAATGTCTTGCGAGGAGTCACTGCAATCCATGAACTAACAGTTACAGAATTACGTAATGATGAAGTTTTGAAGACCAATTGTAGCAGTATTACATGTTGTTTTCTCAATGAGGATTCTCATAGATCGATACATATTGACAAAAAATACAGTGGACTTCAACTGGCTGAGGAATTCTGGGAACTGAAATCCACAAGTCTTAAAGCGGCCAAGTTTGAAGATCTCAGGTTTAGATGTTCATTGAGTTCAACTTTATTATGTAAAATCTATGGCTAAACAAGATTTGGCCCATAATTAACTATGGGTTCATATTTATTTATTTATTGAGCGTATGGCTAAATAAGGTGGTTCATGACATTTCGTTTACTGCCAACAGAAGAGAATATATGTAAGCTCAGAATTGAACTGTAGAATCTCTCTGAGCTTGCTTGCTGGCAGACGTTTTATCACTCGACTAGGTAACATGTTCAGTCCTAGAAGGAAGTAGGGTTTACTTTCTGTTTATATACAGCAGCCTGCCTGTCAGTGTCAGTGGGGGTATTATTTTCTTCCTGGCAGTTCCTTGATTAGGCTGTTGTTTACTGATTAATCCCTGCCTAGTGTTTTTGGATGTTTTAGTGTGCACCCATGAACACCAATTAGGAGTCAGAAGGTGCAATAAAAACTCCTTACATTTCACAACACATAGACAGACTTAACTATACTTTCAACTGTAAACTGTAAACATCCTAGACCAGGGGTAGGCAACCTTGGCTCTTTTATGACTCGTGGACTTCAACATGGCTGGCTCAAGAATTCTGGGAGCTGAAGTCCACGAGTCATAAAAGACCCAAGGTTGCCTACCCCTGCCCTAGACAAAGCTAAATCCAAACATCAGGGGATTCCTGGAAGTTCAGCACTCAGACAAATCAACAGGCACATAGAGATAAAGAACATTTACACACCATTCAAAAGAGACAATAAAAAAGCTAAAAAGCAAACAAAAAGACCAGAACACCTCCCCACTAACAATCAACACTAAGATAAGCAGGGATTAACACCACACAAACAATCAAGCAGTACACAACAGCTTAATCAAGGAACTACAGGTAATCCTCGACTTATGACCGCAATTGAGCCCAGAATTTCTGTTGCTAAGTGAGACATTTAGTGAGTTTTGCCCCATTTTACAACCTTTCTTGTCACATTTGTTAAGTGAATCATTGCAGTTGTTAAGTTAGTAACAGGGTTGTTAAGTAAATCTGGCTTCCCCATTGACTTTGCTTGCTAGAAGGTCGGAAAAGGGGATCACATGACCCCGGGAGACAGCAACGGTCATAAACATGAGTCAGTTGCCAAGCGTCTGAATGTTGATCACGTGACCATGGGAAAGCTGCAATGGCGATAAGTGTGAAAAATGGTCATTTTCAGTGTCGTTGTAACTTTGAATAATCACTAAACAAAACTGTCGTAAGTCGAGGACTACCTGTATCAATATAAAGAGGGCAAACCCAACTCCCTTCTAGCACTGAAGATGTTACAAAATAGATAACAAAATGTCTGCAAGTAAACTACCCAGCACCAAATAGTCCACATTTCACTTCGTCTTAATCATGGGCGGGCAGAAGAAATTTCATTCCCCAGATTTGGAGGCAGAAGTAATTTTATGCAGATGTGTAAAAAAAACTAGGACAAAACCCTAACAACAATGACGTCCTTAACTTATTTTATTATCTCAGACCACTCATTTTTCAACTTACCTTTCATGGATAGCTGAGCTTTCACCCTATCTAGTTCATTCTGAAACACATCACAAAAAGAATCAAATCAGATTAAAAAACAAAGTCCAAAACATAATTTTTTTAAAAAAAAATATGTATGTATAGGTAATGTATGCGAAGGCCAGTCAGGTTCTGTCTGAGCAAAACATGTGAGATCTGTTCACTGTTGTTCATTTTCTAAATGTTATAATTCATGTTGTTACTTGTCTCATCACTTTGGAACAATTGTCACCTTTTAATAATAATAAAAAAAACAGAAATATGGAATACAGAAGAGAATACAGAATAACAGAGTTAGAAGTCTTCTAGTCCAACCCCCTGCTCAAGCAGGAGACCGTATATCATTCTGAACAAATGGTTTGTCTCCCTTTAATAAATTTCCATCTGTTACCCTCCTGTCCTGCTCTCAGGTGCTTTGAAGAGCATGTTGTCCCTCTTTTCTCTGTGACAGCCCTTCAAATATTGGAAGACTGCTATCATGTCACTCTTAGTCCTTCCCTTTATTAGCATAGACATACCCAGCTTTCTTTCTTTTTTTTCTTTCCTTCTTTCTTTCTTTTTCTTTTCCTTCATTCCTCACACATATATTATACTATATATCAGTGATGGCGAACCTTTTAGAGACCGAGTGCCCAAACCACAACCCAAAACCCACTTATTTATCGCAAAGTGCCAGGGCCACATCAGCATTGTGGTGCCCTCGGGGGGGTTGGGGTTGGGGGCATGGCCCATTGAGTGGGCATGGCTGTGGTGGTCACGGCAGACTGGGGGTGTATGGCTGGGGTGGGCATGGCCACCTTGAAGTTGCTCATGGGGGAGACACCTGTGTGGACCGGGCAGGTTGGGGGACATCCAGGGGGGTCTCTGGCGGGTGGGGCGGTGGGCAGGAGGTCCAGAATAGATGGGGGGAGGCACACAATCCTAGCTGGGACTGGGGAGCCATGGCGCCGATGGGGATCCGGCTTTCCCTGCTCGGGGTGGCCTTTGGCTTGCTGGGTGTGGGCGTGCTCTACCACCTCTACTCGAGCTTGCTAGCTGGCCACTTCGCCTCCTTTGTGCTGGGTGGGGCTGCTGCTCCGGACAGTGGTGGCGGCCTAATGGACCTGCGCAAGCTGCTGGCAGCGGCGGCGCACGTGCCCACAGAAAGGGCTCTGAGTGCCGTCTCTGGCACCTGTGCCATAGGTTCCCCACCACTGCTATATATGAATACAATATTTATTTATTTCAGAATTTTACAGTACTTGATAATGCTATCAAGCTAGGAAAAAGTCTTACAAGGAACTCGCTGAACTCTGGAAAACACCAAGGTGCAAAAGAAAAAAAATAATCCTGCTGAAGAGTACAGAGGATTAGCAGAAATGAAAACTGACAATTTTGCCTATGTACTATTTTATTGCTAATTGTTAATATTTTAAAAATATATTTACAGGGTTTATTGTGTGTTAGCATTCTTTTAAGCATTTGTGAATGAAATGACAAAACCAGCATATAAATATGTTATATAATAACTATATAAATGAAAGAATTCAGTACACCAGCAGAGATTATTTCCTAGAGGATAAAAAATCAGGAGATTACAAGATCTCAAAACTGTCCTCCTCCCGGGTTACACCTCCTCATTTAAAAGGGTCCTTTATCTTCTGTAAATTATTTGGAGGGGAGCAGGAATTGTAAGATTCCAGAAGATGCAAGGCTGATAGCTTCCTGAAATTTCTTTTCTCCGGGAAAATGTTGAATGAAACCTCCCAGTTGATAATCAACCTCATCAATATTTAAAGTTATGAAACTTTTCATATTAGGAAATTGGATAATGAAAGAGATATTTCTCTATACACTAGTTGTTTAAAAGCATTTCTGTGACACAAAACCCATGGAATTGACTTTCTCTCTTTGAAGTCTCCAAACCTGTATTTACCACAGCATAATATAGTACAGTAAGTTAGCAGCTGGCACCAATTGCAACCTTTAAAAATATGTTATTCATCTCATATTGCATGAAGATGAACATTCTTACATTTGCTCATACTATCCTATTCAGAAAAATGCTTTTCAAAATTTGAAGAAGAGACTGGTACGATAGCTCACAAACCCTCCACCCAAATTTAATTAATAGGTTTACTAGCACAAACTATTCATTTTGTAAAAAAAAAATCCTTCAGTACTAATATTGTCCATTGCCTTGACATTCAGCCTGGGAATACAAGAAGGACACAAGCCTTATCTGTAAAGCTTTTCTGCATTGAATGGGACATCTAGCGGAACCAGCTGCTTAAACAAATCCTTACAGAATGATAAACACAGCTTAGACATGCTTCCAAGTATTTCTGACATTTCAGTTACCTAGTTCATTCAGCATAGATAAGATGGATGGTTTAATCTCTTTAGTAACTAATTCTGATGACAACTGCACACCAGCTTTATAAATAAAAAAAGCCAAAACGTATTTTAATAATTGGCATAAAATAAAATGAAAAAATTATCCTTCTGAACTGAATTACTAACAATATGTTACACTTAATTTTTATTCATGATTTTTCAAAACCATCATGATACTAATTCTTACTTTCACATCTGTAATATATTACACAAATTGAAAAAAAATATATACAAAAATATGATCCCTTTAAAAATTTGCTTATTTATCACCTTGTATGCCAGCTCAGTCACTGAAATGATGACAACATATTAAATTTCAAAAAAAGCAAAATGAAAGAAAGAAAAGAAAAATTAAATAAATAACAATACATTCAGTACACCAGGGAAAGGAACCATCTCAACTGCAATAATAACAACAAGATGATATACTATCAGGGAAAGATCATCTCATCCTATCCTAGGATCTCCTGAAAGTGCCAAGTTTTTACTTTCCATCAACTTTGAAGTATCATCATCTTCTTTTCATGCTTGCCTATAAACTGTGCTATGCTCACACAAAATATGCCAAGAATATCATTCATGTATATACATGTGTATGTATGTATGTATGTATGTATGTATGTATATATATATATATATGTATATATATATATGTATATATATATATATATATAGATAGATAGATAGATAGATAGATAGAGATAGATAGATAGATAGATAGATAGATAGATAGATAGATAGATAGATATATGGTAAAACTATAAACAAAAGTGAACACCAGGAAAGTAAAAAACTACAAAAGTTTTAATAAATTACGACCCAAGCTTTCGCCGGCTCACTGCCGGCATCCTCAGGGATCTATGTAGGTCAATGGGAGCACGCTTCTTATAATCAAGCCGCCTTTGCGCCCGGCCCGTGGGCGCTACCACGGAGCTCCACCAGCCAATCGCCGTTCCCACCCCGCTTTCGTTCTACTTAGCCAACTCACCTGCGCTGTTCCTATCCCTGCGCAACTTGCATACCTGCATACTTCCATACTTCACCCCCATTAACCAGTCGAGAGCGCACATCTGCCCTACCTTGCTCTGCAGGCACCCCTCTCCACCCATTCAGCCTTTCCCCCCCTTTTTTATCTCCTCCGTGTTTCCCATATCCTTCATCTCTCCCATCTCCCCCCTCTCTCTCCCTGCTAAAGCCATTTCCCACACTCGTGAGGTGGCTGCACGAGGACGTGCGATCACCCCTAGGGCGGGACCGTGTTTTTCTCCTTCTCCTCCTCTCCCCGTCGTTCTCCCTCTCCTCCTCTTCCCACACCTTCCGTCCCCCCCCAAAATACTATTAGACAGCAGATAACGGGCCTTCTCGTAAAACATAGATGCCATCAAACGTTGCCAAATAGGGAGGTGGAGGCCATGGGCCAGCTTAGGAGGGACAAGTCCGTCTTAGTGTTACCGGCGGACAAAGGTAGGGCCACGGTGGCCATGGATAGGGCGCAGTACGCTGACAAGGTATTGGGGTTACTCAGTGACGCTACGGCCTATAGGACGGTCGATGGGGACCCCATGATAGCCCTCAAAAATCGGGCCAATAAGATACTTAACGCCCTTAAACAAGGTAAGAGGCTTGATGAGGGCACCCTCAGAAGGCTTCGCCCCAAAAACACGGCCATGGCCAGGTTCTATGGGTTGCCTAAGGTCCACAAGGAGGGTGTTCCGCTCCGTCCCATTGTGTTGTTTAAGAACACCCCGACCTCGAACCTAGCCAAGTGGTTAAGTGATCGTATTGGTTACTTGGTTTGTGACAGCACCACTACGGTTAGGTCTGCAGAGGAGTTTCTGGACAGGATCAGAACTCTGAGGATAGAGGAGGATGAGATGATGGTCTCCTTTGACGTTACCTCTCTCTTCACCTCTATCCCTCAGGAGTTGGCCGTCAGGGTTATTAAAGATCTGCTTCTCTGTAAGGAACCCGAACAGAAACGGGACTCGCTCCGCCCGGGAGACCTTGTGGACCTTTTAGAAATCTGCCTTAAGACTTACTTTACGTTTCAGGGGGTTACTTATGAACAGGTCAGGGGTACCCCCATGGGATCACCCATTTCCAGCGTCATAGTGGAGGCGGTGCTGCAGCGGTTGGAGCAGGTGGCGATGGCCCAATGCTGTCCCAAGTTTTGGGCCCGCTACGTTGATGACACCTTCGCTGTCATCAAGAGGGATCAGAAGGCTCGCTTTGTGGGGGTGCTTAACTCGGTTTATGCGGATATACAGTTTACCGAAGAGGAAGAACGGCAGGGAGAACTGGCATTTTTAGATGTTCTGGTCCGTCGCCGGTTGGATGGAACCCTCCAGACCAAGGTATACCGCAAACCGACTCACACCGATAGGATGTTACACTTTGATAGTAATCATCCTATGGCCCACAAGGTCAGCTGCATCAGAACCCTCTTCAAGAGGGTGAATTCCCACTGCAGCACGGCCAAGGCTAGGGCGGAGGAGAGGAGACATCTCCTCCAGGTGTGCAAACACAATGGGTACCCAATGAAGTTTGTCAGGAGGTACAGCGCCCCACCCAGGCCCCCGGTTAACCAACAGCCTGAAGGACTGTCTCCCCAGGCGACCCGGGTTACTCTCCCCTATATCAGCAATCTGTCAGAGGCAACAGCTAGACTGTTGGCCCCGTATGGGGTTAGAGTGGCCCATAAACCCAGCTGCACGTTACGGTCTGGCGTCATGAGGCCCAAGGACCCGCTCCCCACGGCAGAGAAGTCAGGGGTTGTTTATAAAATCGAATGCAACGAGTGCTCTGCTAACTATGTGGGAGAGACTTCAAAAAGAGTTGGAACAAGGGTCCACGAACACAGGCTCGCCATAAAGAGGGGAGAGCCGTATTCCCAGCTGTGGACGCACATGATGGAGACCGGCCACAAGTTTGATCTGGATGGCATGCAGGTGATTGCTGGTGGCAACACCAAAGGCGGTAGGCTGTTGAAGGAGGCCTGGCTGTCAGGAGAGAATTCCATTAACAGACATGTAGACTTATGCCAGGCACATCTGGCACTAAGGGCATGGAACGCTCATGCCCGTAGACCTTGGAGGAAGAAGGGGGGGAACCCCCAGCACTCCCCGTTAACCCCGGCGTGTTTGGAAGCACGGGGAGAGAGAGACGAATAGCTCCGAGATGTTGCAGAGACAATCACACGTCCCCAGACGGCCGCCCTGCGAATGGATATGACATCCCCCGTAGGAGGAGGAGGAGAGGGAGAAAGATGCTGCTCCGTTTTGGGAGCAGTCACGCGCTCCTGTGCAGCCGCGCCACGGAGGAACGGAGAGACCTCGATTGAAAGAAGAAGGGGGGGGATGGAAGGTGTGGGAAGAGGAGAGGGAGAAAGATGCTGTTCCGTTTTAGGAGCAGTCACGCGCTCCCGCGCAGCCGCGCTATGGAGGAACGAAGAGACCTCGATTGAAAGAAGAAGGGGGGAATGGAAGGTGTGAGAGGAGAGGGAGAAGGATGCTGCTCCGTTTTGGGAGCAGTCACGCGCTCCCGTGCAGCGTGAGAACGGTGAAACCTCGATTGAAAGAAGAAGGGGGGGTATGGAAGGTGTGGGAAGAGGAGGAGAGGGAGAAAGATGCTGCTCCGTTTTGGGAGCAGTCACGCGCTCCCGCGCAGCCATGCTACGTAGGAACGGAGAGACCTCGATTGAAAGAAGAAGGGGGGGGATGGAAAGTGTGGGAAGAGGAGAGGGAGAAAGATGCTGCTCCATTTTGGGAGCAGTCACGCGCTCCCGTGCAGCCGTGCTACGTGGGAACGGAGAGACTTTGAAAGAAGAAGGGGGGGTGGAAGGTGTGGGAAGAGGAGAGGGAGAAAGGTGTTGCTCCATTTTGGGAGCAGTCACGCGCTCCTGTGCAGCCGTGCTACGTGGGAACGGAGAGACTTTGAAAGAAGAGGGGGGTGGAAGGTGTGGGAAGAGGAGGAGAGGGAGAACGACGGGGAGAGGAGGAGAAGGAGAATAACACGGTCCTGCCCTAGGGGTGATCGCACGTCCTCGTGCGGCCACCTCACGAGTGTGGGAAATGGCTTTAGCGGGGAGAGAGAGAGGGGAGAGATGAAGGATATGGGAAACACGGAGGAGATAAAAAAGGGGGGGAAAAGGCTGAATGGGTGGAGAGGGGTGCCTGCAGAGCAAGGTAGGGCAGATGTGCGCTCTCGACTGGTTAATGGGGGTGAAGTATGGAAGTATGCAGGTACGCAAGTTGCGCAGGGATAGGAACAGCGCAGGTGAGTTGGCTAAGTAGAACGAAAGCGGGGTGGGAACGGCGATTGGCTGGTGGAGCTCCGTGGTAGCGCCCACGGGCCGGGCGCAAAGGCGGCTTGATTATAAGAAGCGTGCTCCCATTGACCTACATAGATCCCTGAGGATGCCGGCAGTGAGCCGGCGAAAGCTTGGGTCGTAATTTATTAAAACTTTTGTAGTTTTTTACTTTCCTGGTGTTCACTTTTGTTTATAGTTTTACCATATATCTATCTATCTATCTATCTATCTATCTATCTATCTATCTATCTATCTCTATCTATCTATCTATCTATCTATCTATATATATATATATATATACATATATATATATACATATATATATATATATACATACATACATACATACATACATACATACACATGTATATACATGAATGATATTCTTGGCATATTTTGTGTGAGCATAGCACAGTTTATAGGCAAGCATGAAAAGAAGATGATGATACTTCAAAGTTGATGGAAAGTAAAAACTTGGCACTTTCAGGAGATCCTAGGATAGGATGAGATGATCTTTCCCTGATAGTATATCATCTTGTTGTTATTATTGCAGTTGAGATGGTTCCTTTCCCTGGTGTACTGAATGTATTGTTATTTATTTAATTTTTCTTTTCTTTCTTTCATTTTGCTTTTTTTGAAATTTAATATGTTGTCATCATTTCAGTGACTGAGCTGGCATACAAGGTGATAAATAAGCAAATTTTTAAAGGGATCATATTTTTGTATATATTTTTTTTCAATTTGTGTAATATATTACAGATGTGAAAGTAAGAATTAGTATCATGATGGTTTTGAAAAATCATGAATAAAAATTAAGTGTAACATATTGTTAGTAATTCAGTTCAGAAGGATAATTTTTTCATTTTATTTTATGCCAATTATTAAAATACGTTTTGGCTTTTTTTATTTATAAAGCTGGTGTGCAGTTGTCATCAGAATTAGTTACTAAAGAGATTAAACCATCCATCTTATCTATGCTGAATGAACTAGGTAACTGAAATGTCAGAAATACTTGGAAGCATGTCTAAGCTGTGTTTATCATTCTGTAAGGATTTGTTTAAGCAGCTGGTTCCGCTAGATGTCCCATTCAATGCAGAAAAGCTTTACAGATAAGGCTTGTGTCCTTCTTGTATTCCCAGGCTGAATGTCAAGGCAATGGACAATATTAGTACTGAAGGATTTTTTTTTTACAAAATGAATAGTTTGTGCTAGTAAACCTATTAATTAAATTTGGGTGGAGGGTTTGTGAGCTATCGTACCAGTCTCTTCTTCAAATTTTGAAAAGCATTTTTCTGAATAGGATAGTATGAGCAAATGTAAGAATGTTCATCTTCATGCAATATGAGATGAATAACATATTTTTAAAGGTTGCAATTGGTGCCAGCTGCTAACTTACTGTACTATATTATGCTGTGGTAAATACAGGTTTGGAGACTTCAAAGAGAGAAAGTCAATTCCATGGGTTTTGTGTCACAGAAATGCTTTTAAACAACTAGTGTATAGAGAAATATCTCTTTCATTATCCAATTTCCTAATATGAAAAGTTTCATAACTTTAAATATTGATGAGGTTGATTATCAACTGGGAGGTTTCATTCAACATTTTCCCGGAGAAAAGAAATTTCAGGAAGCTATCAGCCTTGCATCTTCTGGAATCTTACAATTCCTGCTCCCCTCCAAATAATTTACAGAAGATAAAGGACCCTTTTAAATGAGGAGG